GGCTCTTCGCTACACAGGTTCCACAGGTATTCGTTACTGATAGAGACTGGCTCTCAACTGGCCAGTATTTGACAACATTGTGTTGATTGACGTTTCCGTCGGGAGGATCCCCTTGGATAGTACGTTTTACGGTGAAACATTGCCAGAATACTATGTACTTATAACAAGGGCCACACAGGTCCCTTTGAGTTGAGTTCACAGTCTTGGTGTGTTGGGAGGGAGATTGAAAAGGCGAGGTATGGGTTTAAAATTTTTTTGCCCGAACGTTGGCTCGACTATGTCTGACTAGGTCTAAACTTTACATACTGCAATCTTTCCCCAAACCGTGGAAAGTGTAAAATCCCTACTCACCCCGCACGGTACATTTCGTACTATTGGACTGTGAGCCGGTAGGGCGGGGGGAGGAAACGCACCACAATTCGCTATACTTTAGGCTTTGTAAGTTTTTTTTATTATTTATGAAATAAGGTCTCACACGAACGAAAAGAGTTAGAACTTCAGTAGGTGTATTTGCCGTGAACATTATTTGTGCCAAGCCGGCGACGTATTTATAAATGTGGGTAGGACCGGCATCAAGAAATACAATTATCTCGGCGACCTACTCTTTTCTGGACGGATTTCTCAGATCCCTTGTTTGACCTTCTTGACCGGTGGCTATTTTTGACTTATGCACTGCACCTAGTATTTTATATAGTCGGTTAAATTTGTGGTAGAACGTAAAGAAAAGGTCGTTTTACGCACGAGGAACCGACATACGTTATCATTTAAAGTTATTAATTTTTATGGTCCAATTTGGAGACTTAACATCACCTCATCTTAAGTTTCTTGTTACTGACAGTACACCAGTATTATAATTCGGACAATTACGACGGGGCAAATCCTGTCGGTTCGTTAAAAGTGGGGTAAATAATTAATATACAAAAATTTAAACTATTGTGCGGTTACACAAATTATCGACCGTTGAAGGATTAACACCCGTTGTTGGATTTTGCAAGGGGTTCAGAGTCTACAATCATTACCGCGCACGAACATTCTCACTGTAAACCAGAATAACGCAGAACGCGCCCGGCGCAAACCGCAATATACTGTAAATTATTAGATAAGATCCACGTAACGACATATTCGGTGGTTGCGGTTACGTAATTTGGGTAAACGTAACAGCGTGGGACCGACCGTAGAACCTGCCCCCGTCGACACTCGAGTGCGACGACGGACACGCAACTTGGACCGTTTACTTTCGACAAGGACCCTCTGATTAAAACAGGTGCGGTCTTCCGAGCTCTTCGACGTGGGCCGTTTCCCCTTATTTGGGGGTGGGGGTAAAGGATGTCATACCACATGCACATCTATTGTAAATCTATTATGTCACATTAAAGTGGGGGTATAAATACTAGGTTCAGGCGTGGTACGGTAACATTCGTGTTTGTGTGGCCTGAGCCTGTATCACAATTGCCGTCTTAAGTACAAATAATCTTTCTAGAAGTTCGTTTGGTAAAGGCACGAAAACACATTTTTATTTGATTTGGGTTTAGTCGGACCTTTGGTCCCCTCCATTTTACTTCAAATGCCCCCAGAAATGTGCTTACGAAAGTCGTCCCAACATGCGCCCAGGAGTGTCGGACCCCGATCCGGTGACCCGAGGTGGAACCTTGAAGGTAAAGGACCCACAGAGTAACCTAAAAGGCACCACTTCGTCCCTTTGTCGTCCGCCCGGTAGCAAACTAGTTTCAGACCCGGCCACCAAAACGCTTTTCGTCCTCCTTTTACCGTCCGAAGAGTCGGCATGTTTCGTATGAGCCGCCTATACACCGTCGGGTTTTTTGTTTTAGTTTTCATCGTCTTTTTTATTTCTTGACAATGTAGTGAGAGGGTTAGGGGATAGTACACAATTTGATATTTTATGTTATTAATGTATAGTTATAAAATAGATTTATTTCCATCACGGCCCGAGAAAAAAAATCGTCCAGTGGTTGTTATTGTTTTTATTTAGGACATGGGATTGTCGAATAAAAGTGTCACAACGGAAAGAAAAAATAACGTTTTGAGCTTTACCCGCTAAATTAACTAAAGGGTTTTTATCCTCCGAAGACCGAGAATTGTAGGAAAAAACCTTAATTACTCGAGAAAAATTAAACAAATGTTAAATAGTCACAATCTTATCAGCGGCAGGCGGCTGGTATTGGTATTTGTTGGAGAGAAACCCATGTAATAGTCGCCCTTACCGTTAGCGCGTGACAAATTTTTCTTGACTACCGGTTAGGGAATATGTTCGCAACTCGTGTGAGCGCTTTGGGAGACGATAAACGTATTGGTACATATTCCTTTCCCCTTTCCCCGAGCCATAAGCGACAACAAATGTGATTCAGTGTCCTCAGCTGTTTAGTCTAACTAATGAAGAATGTTGATTACCCTTAGTGTGAGGGCTACAAGCCTCACAAACGAACACACATCCTAAAGGTTATGCTTTTGTTTACATCAGACATACACAGTAGTGATGTTATGTATTGCGCCGAGGCTTCGGAGCGTGTGTCGAGTAATCCCCGAAGCATTTTGTGAAGCATGTATCGAGGCTTGTATCGTTTTGGGCCAGTGACGTCATTGATGACAAACGTAGCCTCGCTGCCTGTCGATACCACGTGATTGCTTCAGAAAGTGATTCCGATCGGTTGAACCCATGTTTGAACCGTTGAACCACAACGCTCATAATACCCATGGATGTATAATAAGAACCATGGAATGGAATTAAAAGAGCTCAGACCCTCACTTATATAGAGGTCGGAACATGTCATAAGTATAAATAGATACAAGCATAAATAAATGTAGGAATAAAAACATGAATAAATAAATGAATAAATACAGGAATAAATATTGTAGAGTGTTTTCAGGGAAATTCAGTGTGTGTGCTGTGTCTCAGGTAGAAAGCAATTGACTCACGACCGCAGGGTCCCTGGTTCAACGACTGAACAATACGTCTTTTTGGTTGTTTATAAAAGCTACAGCTAAATGAGATGAAGTTAATAAATGTATTCTTTGAAATGGTTTAGCCTTTTTTCAGGCTACAACATGGTTAAGTTTATGAATATTATTAAGGAATACAAATCCCTCTTTGCAATGTTTACCAGCCTCCTTAGGCTTTACAATCACAATCAATAAACTGGAATAAAAACAATATTGTTAAAATGAAAATATGATTTAATGTTCGTTGTTTAGAGTTATTCTAAGGCTTTACTCATTGGGAACTCGGTATGAGATACAGCACACTTTTGAGATGTCCAATCTGCCTGTTTTACACACTTTGACCAACAGGGGGGTTTGTGTTCAAATGAAGCCCATGATGAAGCCTCATGAGATGTACCCTTTTGCGAACCAATTGGCTGGAAAGCTACAAAGCTTCATAAGGCTTCATCTCGCCATCACTAATACACAGACACATTGATTTGAAACAGCTTTATTTTGCTAGATTGAGTGCACGCAATCATGTTTAAAATATCTATTGTTAATTGTGTTGTGTGTAATCCTATTGTCAGTGTCTTACAGCTCACCTTGCAGCTGGCAAAAGGTTGAGCTGATAGAAAACACCTGCCTTTATAGATATGTCAGCTAATTGGACTACGCCATTCATCTCAAACCCTGAGGGGTGTTTAAAGAGGCCACTCCATTTAAGCCACCCCTTTTTACAGCCTTTTCCCCGCAACAATGGACTGGCCAGTATTGCTACAAATTCCCTGCAGTGTGGAGATGAGGGGGGTATGTGAGTTGCTCTTGGGCAGAAGAGCACACAGGATGTCACCTATTTTTGTGACGTTTTGTTTATGCGTTAAATGCTAGATTGTGTCTGTTTATATCTGCATCTTTTTGTTTAGACCTAATTGATTTTATTACCCATCTTAAAACTGTACTTATAAAACGGACAAGTCAAATCAAGCAATCTGATTGGTTCTTAGCCGTGATATACTGAGCATACCACGGGTAGAATTGTAAGTTAATTTTCACAACAAGTCAGTATCCCTCCGCGTCTGAGAAAAACAGTATACCGTTGGGCTGAAACAGTTTGCTTTTTGTCGACCCTTCGCTTCGCGTCGGGCCGAACCGGGCCCCTTAGCTGTGATATAATGAGCATATACCACGGCCTGTCGTGAGCTATTGCTTAAATATATTATATTGGGTAAATAAAATCCTTATTTTTGCACCTCAACCTGCATTCCTGATTTCTCCGACCGAAGCTCCAAGATAAACCGTCAGTGTTTGCCATCAAAGCTCCAGCTCTCCATCGTGTCTCTCTTTGAGTCCTGATCCAATTGCTTCAGAAGTTTCCCCCACAGTTATTTAGGTTTTTATTGTTATTGAAAATGGTAATTTGAATGGCAGTCTACTGTACATTGAATACAGCATGCTTAAAAATATTTTGCATGTTTAAGAAAAGCTATGCTTCAGAACAATTGCAAAATGACAAATTGCCTACAGTACACATGCATTAGATTATAATGTATATTATTCTGTAGATGTAGATAATATAAAGGAAAGATACCATTTCTATTACATTCAATTATTAGTTATTACAATTAATTGTATTTATGGGAACATTTCACATTCAAATGTAACAACCTTTTCCGTAGAATATAAACAAATATTATATAATGAACATTAGTAATAAAAAGGCAACCAAAACCACATTTGTGTTTGACAGATACTTTTTTTGAAATGTAAACTTTTGGGGTGTTTTCATTATTTTTATCTTTTTTGTTGCCTTTTTTTTGTTAGTTATTAAGTCCACAGTACTTCCTTGTAACAACAGGTGGCGGTAATTCACCGTGCAGCGAACAAGAAGAAGAGGGATGTTTTAGCCGTCCCGGTGTTGAGTTGTGATATTTCCTACAGCCCCTTATACCCACCAGCAGCTGAAGTGATCCTCCGGACTGCACCTCCTCTCCTCCCCGGGTATCAGACACCTTCAGCCGGCCATGGCGCAGAGAAACTTCTTCGTGGGAGGGAACTGGAAGATGAACGGGAACAAGGAGAGCCTGGAGGAGCTGATCTCCACCCTGAACACCGCCAGCCTTCACGACCAGACCGGTAAGTAACGGATAATGTCGTGTCTGTGGGTTTATTATATTTGCTGCACATTAACTGCAGGTTATAGGATGCAGAGATAATGAAAATATATCGTTAAAGAATGACAGTTAGGAGATACTGCTGCTCGGATGAGATGTGATCAGGATGAGTTGCATAACGGCCTCTGACGTTTCTGTCTTATCCTCAGGGCTGGAAAGTAACTAAGTCAATGCACTCAAGTGTCTTTAAGTCTCATTTGACTTTACTTTTTGCCATGTCGTACTTTTATTCCACTACATCTCAAGGTACAATATTGTAATTTTTGCACCACTGCATTTTATATGTTCTTAGCAGTGGCGTAGCCAGGAATTATTGTGTGGGTGGGCCTGGAGAAATGTAGGTGGGCCAGGGGAGACTTATTAAGCGTGGGGTCTGAGCTGAAACTTCATTAATGATTTGAATGATTTTTTAATGCACTAATTGAACATAAGCATAAACTAGCAGTGAAAACAAAAACATAGGCACGGCGGCCTCAGAATGTGTGTTATACTGACATCCACATGACTAGGGATAGGTATCGTTAAGGTTTTAACGGTAGGCCTACTACTACTTTTATCGATACCGCTTATCGATCCGGTGAACATTTTTTATCGTTTTTTTTGGAGAAAAAAAGAAGGTAAACTAACTAAACAAATTGTGAACAAAACTAGCATTGCTTTTTATTTAACACTCGAACCGCCAGAGATTTTTTATACCTAAAACCGCCACCGGGGTCAAAACCCAGCAGTAGAATGCATTGATTTTCAAAGTAAAAGTATTGCTTTAAAAAGAAAAATGGTCCTGTGGTATTGGTATTTTGACAAGCAATTGTTTCGTTTATTAACGGTACAACATAGGGTTTCGTGAGGCGGTTGTCGTTGTTGGGTGAAAAGCAAACAGCTGTTTGCTGCGGAGCACAGCGGGAGCAGTCTCCCGTGAGCGCACTCCTTCACTACAGACTGCCGCTATCAATCTCTCTCTCTCTCTCTCTCTCTCTCTCAATCTATAAGGAACTGCAGTAGACAAAAGGCGTTGCTATAGGAACACGTCATGTTTGTTTACACGCAAAATCAATAGCGCGAAAAGGGGTGGGGTCAATATGACCCGCTTGGCGGAAATAGGTATAAATGGCAATTATTTTGCCGATTTCTTCAATCTGACTTCATATTGACCATTTTTAACAACATAGGGTGCTACATAACACACTTTCAGGAAAAGTTACGGACTGGGAGACTTTAATATGTTATTGAAAAAAAGTTACATACAATAAAAAACAGCTCTGGGTCAAATTGACCCCGTTGGCGGTTCTAGTGTTAAATTAAATACATAATATTTCACATCAGAAGAAACAATCGTATTAAATAATCGGATAGAACTGTAAACAGAATAGCTGAAACTTTAACAAAATAAATAACTCAGTTACCTCTAATCATCAACCCATGTTTGTATAATTGAGTTAACTCCTAGTGTCGCTGCTAGCATTCATAACACCTGACGTGAAACGTTAGTCGTGGATGGGGGGGCTACAGCACTACCAGAAAGACAGTCGAAGCCGGTGCATTTCTCCGTCTGAATATGGTGGACTTTTGCTAAATGTTTAGAAAAATTGCTCGTGTTACCGGCACCCTTACATGCTAAACTCTTATTGCACTTTTGGTAACGAGCATCGAGACGGGTAAAGTTTAACCACACCT